GCGCCCGACGCGCGCCGGGCGAAGGGAGGCTGGTGTCTCGCCGAGCGCTGCCGTCAAGGCTCAACAGGGCACCGTTCCCGTCTGGACGTGGGGAGGGGAAAACCTTCTCTGCTCCACCATAACCGCCACGAGCCCCCTTCGAGGATGCGGGAGCTCTGACTGCGCTCCTTGTGTATCCTTCGCGGTCCCGATCCTACGAGGATAGTCCTCAGAAGGCGGACGTGGACGGAAGCGGCGCCTCCTTTCCCAGAGGTCCAGTTTTACGTGGGTAATGACACAATTGAGGTTATTCTGAGTATTCACTTGGAAATCTCGCTCCCGCTTTGCCCTCCGTTCCACCGCCCCAAATTCTGTGCGCGATCTTGAATTGCGGGCGGTGGGGGGGGCAAGCATAAGAAGAGCCCCACCTCTTAAGGCTTCCTAGGTGCCCTTCTGCTGGCCTCTTTTGAACTTGCCCCCCACCCCCGCCTTATCTTCTTCCCATGCCTGCCCCACCTTTCACTTTGTGGCGCCGGGCACTCGGGTGGATCTCCTCTCCGTATTTTGTGCAAGTGGCCTCCGCGTCTGGAGATGTGGGGTGAGGGGCGCGCCAGCAGAAACTCCGGTGGACTTCAGTTTGCACAATTTTTTCCTAAAAGTTCGCGTTTCTTCAGTCTTGAAAAGCTTCGAATTCTGTCAAAAGAGGAGAAAAGGAGCCGTTCCTTTAAAAACTAGTGAAAGGGAGAGAGAGATCTGAAAGATTTTTTTCCCCGCCAAGAGTGCCAACCTCAACTAAATTTATAGGACATGTTCTCTGTGTTACAATGAGAGCATGAGGGTATTGCAATTGTTCTGTGCAATCCTGTTGCTTCCATATTATGGGGACCACTGTGCTGGTTACCAGGTTCTGGGAGTCCCTCTCCAGTTGCTTAGCTCCACAACCTCATTTATCCCGGAGTGGGTGAAATTACTAGGGAACCTGCCTGGCCCCCTGCTTCCCAACACTCCAGCCTGCTCAGACTGCTTCCAGGGAGTCCGCAAAGCTAGGCACTCAGAGCCACTATGACCACCTTGTAAAGCAGAACTGCCACCAGGCCCACAAAAATACTAAAACTCTCAGTAGCTGGTCAAGACAAGACCTGGTTTTCGTACCACAAAACTTCTAAGACAAAAACTCAAACAGTTGGACAGATTTTTATAATTTATTAAAGAGAGTGAAAAAGGAAAAAGTTCTAAAGGTTTTGAAAGAAATACTTAGAGCAAGAAGGATAATTTGAGAAAAAGAGTGAGGTAATTAAGAGAACACACCAGAAAATAACACAGCAATCTACTCTAATAGGCACACATTAGCGTAGAGTCAGCATGGTTCTGAAGTATACACAAAGTGTATTCTTCCAGGCATGGCATGACATGACAGCAAGTGAGCATAGCATCTTCTGAGAGGTAAGCTGAGCCAGCTAAAGTAAGTTCTAAACCCCTTCTTACATATTAAAATCATATTTTTCCATATATGATCTGCCAATCCAGCTTCAACATGAAGACAATAGCACTTTCTGCCCCTTCCTTTCACACAGCAAAGTCATATTTTTTCCATATATGATCTGCTAATCCAGCTTCAACATGAAGACAAGAGCACTTTCTGCCCCTTCCTTTCACACAGCTAAAATCATTTTCCAATTAGTGTAGTACTAGGGAACAGGCTGGTTTGGCCTTGAATGCCTCCTTGGCAAGAGATAAACTGCAAGTATTCTGTTCTCATTTCTAGGCAGACATTGGCCTCCCTATTCCCAGCCAGTGGTGCTCAGGCACTGACAGAGAAGCCTGAATTCTCCAGATGGCTTCCATGTCCCTTCAATTTCTCAGTTTCTTCACAACCCCAATAGGATTTATAACCTGTTTGATATATTGAGGGAATAGTTTTCATAGCTGAGTGGGGATTTGAACCCAGGTCTTCTGAATCTTGGCCTGACACTTTGTTCACTCTGGTTCTTGTAACAGTAATACTATTAATTATTTTTACCAAAGGCCTCACTCTTGAACATATGTAGACACACTTAGTTTTCATAGGTTTCACAGGGGCTGGTTGTGTACAGCCAGCATCAGAGTCTTTATTCTTCCTCATCACAGGCAAGCTGGGAAACCTGACCTTGGCATGACCTTCAATGAAGTGAAAAGTATAGAGCAGCCTTCCCCAATGTGGACCCCCCTGCATAATTTGGATTATGACCCCAAAGAGTGTCAGTCAATAGCTTGCAGATGGAAAGCAACCTTAGGTCCCCAGGTGTTCTTGGACTACAACTCCCAGAAATTCTGACCAATACAGCAAATGCTGAAGGCTTTTGGGAGTTGTAGTCCAGGAACACCAGGGGACAAAAGATCGGTCCAAAGCATCTGGAGAGTGCTACTTTGGGAAGACTGGGCAGAGTAATCCGTTAGGGTTTCTACCTGCAGGAGAGAAGCAGTACTTTTAAACAAAAGGCAGCTGCTATACCTGTTGAATCTCCATCCATAGTGCATTTGTTAAATACCCAAGAGTACTGGGTGAGAGGTGGTGAGATGTCAGCCCAAGGAGTAAGGCTTGCTTGGGCTTCTCAGCAACAGTGTCAACAACACTGTTCAGGTCAGCATGAATGGATATCAGCCAGCTAGCATAACGTTGTCTCTGCTGTTTGATTTGTGGGGAAGGTGGGGGAGCAAGGACAGGCATGTGCTGTTACAACTTAAGTGACATCTCATTGCAACAGGAGTGAAGTTGCACACAGTTGTGTGTGTGTACACACACACACACACACACACAAACCTGCCCAAGCTAAGCACCATGTCTCCTTTATTCCTTTTCATATATGAAAGGAGCTGGTGAAATATTGTTCTGAAACTTAGTGTGTCTCTTGTGTATTACACAGCTAGGTTGGCACCACTTTAACAGCCATGCCTCCATCCTGTAGAATGCTGGGATCTATAGTTTGGCGAGATACCTAGATTTCTCTCTCTCATATATATTCCAGTGGAGCACTCACTGACAAATCACAGGATGCCATAGGATGCAGACATGGTAATTAAAGGGATCTGTCACTGCTATAATTGTGTAGCGCTGATGCATTTTCAGAAGAGAAGATCCAATGAAAGGCATGACCACATGCTTCTTCCCCTCTTCCCCCCTCTGAAAAGGCTCATGTAGGACCAAGATGCTCCTTACTGGGACTTTTGTCCAACATGAGTATACCTGAGTATGGGAGGGTTGCTTCAAACCTGATTCTTCACAGTCAACGTATTCCAGAAAACAGCTGTAATTCCAAGAAACCAAGTGCATTCCAGACAATTCCATGTACTTATCTTTCTGGTGATACTTCCCATCCAAATTTCTTGGCATTCCAAACACTTAATCCTGCCTGTAGAGCAGCAGTAAAGCATTAGCAACCTATTTCTCCTCTATGTTGGATTTGTGGACTTGTGCAGGTTGACTTAGCTTTCAGTTCTATTGATATCACTGTGCATGTCACCAATGCACAGATGTTCATCTGTGCATTGATCTATGTTAAACACAAAGAGCCATCTTGATGCAACAGGTATGTCAGGATTTCTGTGTTTCATTTATACACTGATACAGAGATCAGGTGCTGGTGTCCCTTTGGTAACTCATGGAAGGGGAAGACATGGATGGGGGGGAGGACTAAAAATTGTAGCAGACAAGGCTAAGATGCACTGATTTTATGATTAATATTAATATTAATATTAGAAATGGAATATACAGTATATCATGGAAGTGAATACATCCCCTCACATTTCATAAATATTTTAGTATATCTTTTCATGTGACAACAATGAAGAAATGACACTTGGATACAATGTAAAGCAGTGAGTATATAGCTTGTACAACAGTGTAAATGTGCTGTCTCCTCAAAATAACGCAACACGCAGTCATTAATGTCTAAACCACTGGCAACAAAAGTGAGTACACCCCTAAGTGACAATGTCTAAATTGGGCCCAAGTAGCTATTCTCCCTCCCTGGTGCCATGAGACCCGTTAGTGTCACAAGTCTAAGGTGTGAAGGGGGAGCAGGTGTTATGACTCTCACACTCTCAGACTGGTCACTGGAAGTTCCACATGGCACCTCATGGTAATGAACTATTTGAGGATCTGCTCTAAATAAAAATGACCTAGGCTATAAGAAGATTGCCAAAGCCGTGAAACTGAGCTGCAGCACAGTGGCCAAGACCATAGAGTGGTTTAACAGGACAGATTCCACTCAGGTCGACCAAAGAAGTTGAGTGCCTGTGCTCAGCATCATATCCAGAGCTTGGCTTTAGGAAATAGACATATGAGTGCTGCCAGCATTGCTGCAGAGGTTGAAAGGGTGGGGGTGGGGGTCAGCCTGTCAGTGCTCAGACCACACGCTGCATCAAATTGGTCTCCAGGGCTGTCATCCCAGAAGGAAGCCTTTTCTAAAGATGATGCACAAGAAAGCCCACATACGGTTTGCTGCAGACAAGCAGACGAAGGACATGGATTTCTGGAACCATGTCCTGTGATCCGGTGAGACCAAGATAAACTAATTTGGATCAGATGGCCTCAAGCTTGTGTGGCAGCAACCAGGTGAGGAGTACAAAGACAAGTGTGCATGTCTCCAGACCTAACCCCTATACAGCATCTGTGGGGCATCCTGAAATGGAAGGTGGAGGTGTGTGAGGTCTCTGA